GGTGTATGTTGCAATACTTAGAATAGCAAGGTAAACAGTCAACAGAAAAATATTTTGTTATACAACGTTTTATTACTTATTATTAGTTATCTGTAAAAATATGAAACCGTTTTAGTTTTTAAAAAAACTCAATTACTTATAGGATTACAAACACATGTAGAAAATAAATAATTATGTTGATTATGTTACATTTGTGTTAATTGCGGTCCAATTTGCTATGCCTCAAATAATAATTACTTCGAGTGAAACAATTTAAAAATGAAAATTTTAATGTTAATTTGTTGTTTCTCTTTATTTTACCTATTTAGTAATTTTAGACTTTTTGATGTATGTCTCCATTGTCTTAGCTTTGATCAAACTTGATGTGCATGTGAGTATTAGAAGTACTACATGTAACTCAATGGATAAAGGAAGACATTTCTTGGTCTTGTCGAGGGCAGGTATAGATAGTCATATTTTAMCTTCTTTTRTGCCCAYTAGTCTAAGCCATGATATCCCCAGTATRGTAAAGTTTGAATAAAGACTTATAGTAAAACCCTGTTAGTTTTTTTGTGTGCTAATGTTAATTTATCTTTAATATACGTGTTCTTAAGAAAAAAGAATGCATCAACTTTTTAAAGTGGATTGATTAACACTGATATAAAGAGAACATTTTTCCACCTACTGAGTTGTTGCTGTATGCATTTAGAAGAGACATAAGTTAGATGTACCTGCATTTAGCACCTTGGAAAATCTAGTTTAAGCTTTTCAAGTTCATCGTTCATATAAATCTGACTATCTAGACTATTAAACAATCTTATTACCATCTATCCTAACTGATTTCAGATATTTTTGGTTCATCTGAGCGGTTTTCAATTGACTGTCTTACAACCAACACCAAAGTAATCCCTCTGACAAATCACAAAGGACATAGACAGTCCAGAGAACCAATCAAAACTCAAAGCAAATATATGTAGCTGACCCGAAGCGCGGGAAAACGTGCGTGTGTGAGCGAGTCACGATTTGTTGTGAGCGCGTAGCAAATGCGAATTATTTGCGACACTCGAGTGAAAACTGCTCCTGGTGTTTTATTACCAATTAGGTTACGGTAAGATTGGGTAGTTCCTTAAAAAACCCCTTAGTTTAGGTGA